TAAGTCTACTTTTTTTTTCAAAACACACCCATTCTATATATATATATATATTTTTTTCCTATTGAATATTAAGATAAAAGTTGAAACAAAAAATATCTTAAAAATGATTATAAAAAAGTCCTATTAATTAAACAAATAATTAGCTTCTTTTAGATTTAATTATGTAATACGTAGATAATAATATAAGTTAATACGTATAGCAGGTTCGAACCCTGAAAAATGCGAATTGTCAGATTAATGTTTTTTGTTCTTTTTTAAAGTGAAATTAAAAAAATCTTTCCGTTACAAATCAATATCAGCGAGTTTCCGCCCCTAAATATTGTTTTATTGTAAAAGTTTAATGCAAAAAATAATATTTTCTTATTAAATTTTGTCTTAAAAAAATATTGTAAATAAATTTAATGTATGTTTTGCTTACTAATACATTTGAGTATGCATCAAATGTTCACTTCCAAAAATCAATTTATAAAGAATATTTATACTACCAAATGTAAATAAAAATTACCCCCATGAGATGTAGTATCAGTGTGGAAGAAGGTGGTCACAAAGCATCATTGGAGAGAATTCTTGCTTTTTCTGGGACCCTACTCGCAAAACCCTATCTAATTCCCTTTGTGCCATGCCTCTAGCCCTTCTATAAGTACCCGTACTTCTTCACACCCCACAAGTAGCTATATATGTAAAAAAATAAGATTTTTGAAGAGTTATAGGAAATATGAATAAAATAAATAATTAGGAAAGTAAATACAAGGGACTGCGTACCGTGGTAGTCTGATAAGCAGAAGGTTATTAGATCGATGCTTGTCTGGATATCATCGTATTTTTTTTCTCTTGGATTATTTTATTTTGTTTAAATTTTTTATTTTATGTTTTTAATATATAACGTAACAGATAAATATTGCTTTAAAAGTTTAAGAAAAATTTTCAAAAAATATCGTTACAATAGAAAAGAAAAATTCGCGAAAATTTTAAATACATATACGTACATAAGCATGTATGTATATTTTTTTCAAAGTTTCCTAACGAGTTTTTTTTAAGGCTTTCGATATGTTTGCAAACAGCTTTGAATATTATTAAAAGTAAACATACAGGAATACATTTTCAAAATAAGAAATGGTTTAAGCAGGAACAGAATATTAATCTTCGCCATCTGACTCTATTTTTCTTTTATTTCGGACCATGTTTTACTGGCCCCTCACCTTTTTTTCTACTGATCTGCGCCATGTTTCTTTGGGTCTGCCTATTCTCCTTTTACCTTGCGGATTCCATTCAAGGGCGCTTCATGGAATGCTATTTACTGGCCTCCGGAGTGTGTGGCCTATATAGCCCCATTTCCTTCGTCTGATCTGGGCATATACTGGTTCCTGCCCCGTTAGTTCCCAGAGATCCTTATTGCTTATAGTTCTCGGCCAGAATATTCCGCATAATATTCGTAGGCATCTATTTATGAAGGTCTGCATCTAATCTATATAAATCTTCTCAACTAACCATGTTTCGCTGCCATACAGGAGAGAACCGTCCACAGTCTCCCGAATGCCCCCCTAGCAAGCCTAAATCTGTTCTTTATACCTCCTTCAGCACCCACATCTCTAGTAACTATACTACCCAGGTAGCAGAGCTCGGAGACATCCTCTATGTTCTTGTTAATTATCTGCAGAGGGATCATTGTTCTTTAATTATTAATTAGGCATTTTGTCTTGTTTGTGTTTATACAAAGACCTACTTCCGCAGCATTTTACTCCAGGCTTCTTATTTTTTCTTGCATTTCGCTGTGTGTGTGTGTGAGAAGAACTATATCATATCCCAGATCTTCCAATCTATTTGTGAGGGTCCATCTTATTCCTATTGGGTCGCTCAGTCGCCCACGATGAAGAGCTGCCAATTCCGCATCTTCATATAGTGCTCTACTTATGCTTGTTATCTTTCGAGGAATTCCCCTACTTGTTAGGGAGCGCCACAATGCTTCTCGGTCAATCGTATCGAAGGCCCTTTCAAAGTCCACGAAGCGACGTACAAGTCCACTCAACTGACTGTTATATGATTATTCTTACTGTGTTAGCCCGATCAACACAGCTTCGCCCTCTTCTGAAGCCCGCTTGTTCCTCTTTGAGGCCCACTTCTATTCTACTTCTATTCATGTGTAGATTATGAGTGCTAACAGTTTGACAACAGAGTTCAATATTGTAATACCTCCCCAATTTCGACATTCAGATACGTCACAATTTTTTGGAATTTTTATTATGATGCCACTTTTCCAGCTTCTTGGTATATTCTCCGTGCACCATATTGTGTTGAGTATCAGACGGATAATCTCGCTATTGAGTTAGCGCCCGCCTTCAAGAGTTCTGCTGGTATTCCACCGAGACCTTCTGCTTTGTTGTTTTTCAATTTGTGGATGGCATCAATTATTTCTCTTTTGTTTGGCGGGCCCAGATTTACTCTGTTGGCGTTGCCGCTGTTTTCTTGTGTTTGCTGTTCTTGCTGGTATCGCTGCTCGCCATTGTTGACTTCCCCTTTGTAATTGCTCTTGCGTGGATGGGAGCGGCCGACCTTCCTTGCCTTTGATCGGTTGACTTCGCTTCTTGGGATTATTTGATAGCGTTCTTATGTTTTTGTACAGAGAACGCATATTGTTTATTCCTGCAGCAATGTATTAGAATTAGCATATTGTTTATTCCTGCTATATGAATGTATTAAAATTTAGCATTTTATAGTTTTTCGCTTGAATAATAAAAATGAAATTTTAAGTTGTTTTAAATTGTGTATGTATATTTTTTAAAGCTTGCTGACGAAACATAATATTCAAAACAATAACAAATGAAGCATTAATATTCAGTTACCACAAAACATGTGATGTCTTTGACAAAAGCTGACATTTATTTAAGTTTATTTCGATTTTCCGAATTTAAAATATGTGAGATCATTATATTTTCGAATATAATTTTTTTCTCGTTCTTGGTTTGTGTTTCTAATAATACTTTATTTCTTTATTTCTCGGTTTTATTTCCAATAATATAAAGTATAAAATAAAAACGTGCTTTTGTTATACAAAAATTTTTTCAGAAAATCTTAAAATAGGGCAATTTCGGTTTCAATGTCAGGTTTTTCTGGGACCGCACAAATAAACCCCTATCTAATGCTTTTTATCCCATGTCTCTAGCCCTTCCAGAAGTACCCGTATACTTTCTGACACCTCAAAAGTAGCTGCATATAAAATATAAAATATATTTTAATTTGATTTTGATTTCTGCTCTTCTACAAATTTTTAGATCGTCTCATTAGGATTCAAAACTAAGTTATGGGATGCGAGAACTGCATCTTAACCTAACATTTTTTTAAATTACAATATACATATCTAGTTTCAAGAAGACAATTGTGAAATTTAAGAAGAGTTCGAAATAAAAAATAGTTACATTGCGGTGGGTTGGTCATGGCTGATTGTTGACTTCCATCAGAGGATCATAAAGTAATCTAAATGTTGGTCTACATGTTCAAAAAAATTTAACTAATTGAAAATTTAACTAATTTCTAATATAGGTAAAATATTAAATCTTAATTTTTAGCAGGTTGTATTGCTTCATATTATGTTTGTCTGGTATAAAACTTGAAAACACTTTAAATAGAGAAACAATGATTTTTGCAAAAAGAAAAACAATAGACAGACTGAAAATTTTAAAAACTTTATAAATATGTAATAACCGTTAAATTTCACAGTTTTTGTCAAACAAAAACAAATATTTTTTAGTTATACCAGCAACAGAAAATTTTGATTTCGGGTTACAAATGTGAAGCTTAGAAAGCTCTTTGTTTCTTTTTGAAATAAAAATTATTTTTGATGACAAAATTGTTTTCGGAAAATAAAACCTTGTGATATAGCCAAGATAAATATATGTTTCGATAGCTGTAAGATTCAAAAGTTTTAAAACACTAATTTTACCTTATTTAACTTAAAAACTCATTTTTGGTCAAAAAGACTTGCGTGCAAAAGTTTATAAAGTTTTTACAAGTTTTATAAAATTTTTAAAAACTTTCTTATATCAGACAGATCTACTGTTTACAAATTTCATAATAGTTGTAAAATCCTAAAATTTGTTCATTCATTTGTTTCTCTCTCATTCATTTTTTTCTTCTGCAAAACGAACGGCTGCATAACCATGTTAATAACAATAAAAAATTATGAAGTCCGAATAATTTTTAGGGTATACCACGGCTGTCAGAAATACTGATATTATTGTCATGTCAAGAGAGAGATAAAACATCATACATTTCATATTAAATTATTTAGATGCACAAAGTTATACATTCAAACATATGTTAGTCACTAAATCTTAAATATTCGCTAGCATATTTGCTGCTAGATTCGTGCCCCAAAGAAATGATGGGGGATTCTTATAAAATTTTATTATTAGTATTAGTACACACGGTGTTTCGCATATAGCAGTAAATAATTTCAGGGATGATTCTTTGATTAATTTGTAGCAAAAAGTTGTATGATTGAGGGGTGCAGATTGAGAAGGTTGAAACGTGGACTATGCCATCATGCTTTTTGTGTTGTGTTCATTTCAGACTAAAAATGATCCTCGTCGATTGTACTGACAAAAAGACTGCTTATTATTTGATATAAAATTTATATCAAATAATATAAAAAAGAATGGAAAACCCGTACTTTTTTTACCCTTTCAACATGAGCAATTAGCCTAAGTCTCTTAGTTGAGTAACGTAACAATAACATTCTTAGACGATGGTGCATCACCGTTTGAATTTTATAACAAAAGAGTTATCTGATGTATATTTTTATTTCATCTAATTTCAAATATGACATTATAAAATGCGAAATCATTCCCCTTTGGACTTGATTGATTACTGCTTATATAGTTTTTAAAATCTTTCAAAAATGATACAAGGATGAAAACTTAAAACTATTACAAATAAATTTCAGAAATAAATTTTTTCATATTCTAAATAAATCTTAATTTTTAAGTCAGCAACTTTTATTTAGAAATACCGTTTTCATTTTTGGAACTTTAACCTCAAACGTACTTTTCCTGTGAATGAAGAAAAATTTGTTTGTGTACTCTGTTAATCTACATACATATGTATGTATGTAGAACAGAAAGAAGTGCATACGCTTTGAACATTTACCTCAATTTGTCATTTTCAGAAATTATTTGTTAAACGAAGCATAAAATTTCAACAAAGAGTAGTTTCTGACAAAACAATTATCGCGATTGCTATAAAAATGTAAAAAGAAATAGATTTAAATTGCGAAAGTAATAAAAAAACGCGCGAATCGACAAACCGAATCGTAGATTGCAAAGAAGGGATAACAGTGCACCGCAGCCAGAAAATATAGATCTATTGTGCTTCCAACTAGATGCAGGACAAAGCCCTACAAGACCACTCGAGACTCACCCTTCTGATACCGTGGTAGGTTTTAAAAAAATTTATATTCAGAACTTAAAATATAAAAGGACGGTGATAATTTCCTTTTCGTTATATAATTTATAAACTCTATATGTAAATTTTTTTAATAACTATTATCTCTCTATGCGATGGTCTTACACTTACCAGGGCAGTGGACAATTTATTATGATAATGCAAGAAAAACCGGGGTCAAAATCCGACCAAAAATTTGAATTCATAAGAGAGTTGGGTATGATGAACGAAGAAAATTAAAATTAGACGTCTTGTGTGGAAAAAAATTGAACTGAATTGGCTCATTAAGAAATACTGTTTAGTTCAAAAATGTAGACTATTTAAACCAAAAAAAAACACAATTTAAATTGATAATATTACTAATATGTATTTTGAAGCGGTTAACTAGAAAAACGTAGCAAAGCTTGCACACTTGGACTCTTTTTGCAAATATGAAAAAAGTTATGATATGCCTCTTAAAAAAATTATAATCGTCGAAAGTCCAATTAAAATGCTTTAATCTATATAAAATTAAAGGTTTATTTTACTGATATAATAAATTTACTACAATTAGATATGAGTACAAAAAATGTCAATGAATTTCAACACAAATCAAAGTATAAAATTTTATAATTAAACCTTATAACAATATTAAATACCTTTTACAAAAATTGACAACTATTAGTAAATTAAAAGAGTCACAGAAAAGAGCAAGCGTTAGAAATCAGCTTACAAACAAAGTAAAAATTAGAAACATGTTATCTTCTAGCTTAGAAAGAAGGAGAATATTTACTTTTATTTTGTTTATATTTTCCTTTACTTGGTTTGCATTTTAAAATTTTGTGTATTCTGCCACGCACTGCATCACAAACTTTAAACTCTACTTTTGGTAGAGTTTTTCTTTTCGTATTTCTCTAGATTTAAATTTAAATAAAATTTCAAAAAAATTAAAATTAAATCGAGTACGGAGAAAATAAAAAATAAACATAATATCGTTTTTTTAATTTTATAGTTAATGAAGCCTAAAAAAAATCTAATATGTATCTTTATTTAACATACACAAATATACGACTTGTATAATACGTATATAAATCATAAATATTGTATACATACTTATTAATTAAGACTTCGTTCACTCGTACAGCCCGTTCAAATTCAAGCCGCAATTTAATACATAAATCGGTTTTTTTTTTTTTATAAATTTCCCCTGTGGAAATAACGGTCGCTTTAAATTTTTATCTAAAGTTAAAAATTGTCTGTTTTCTTCTTGATCTAACGCAACAGCTTTGAAGGGAAATTAATTCTTATTCGCTAAAATTTTTTTTCCACTTTTCAAAAATATTCAAAAGCTAAAAAAGCTGTAAAATTTCTTGCAAAAGAATAATTTAAAAATATCCTTTTTTTTAAAAATTGTTACTCAAATAGCAACAAATAAAATATAAATAAACATTTGACGGTTGAAATAAAATATTGATTTGGACACCCGAACAATTGTGCTGCCATTGCTGATTCAAAATCTCTACGAAAGGAATTTGTGATCATTCAAATGCATACTTTAAATGATTCTACGAGGGGAAATGATGATAGAGCTGACTATTCCAAAACGGTAAACTAATTTATCTTATATTTCGCCTTTATATTCCGCATTTATTTTTTTAGAAACTCACAAGCAAAGGTTCGTTAATTATTAGAATACTTTTTTCAAACTTATTGCCCTTTCTAATATTAATAAAACAAGGTCTTAATTTTCGGAGAATAATAAAAGCAAAACATTTTTTTAATAAGTGAAGTGCTATAGACAGATTTGAACGTTTTAAAAGGAAATATGTCATTTATAAATTTTTAATAAAATTTTGATTAGTATTTGGAATAAAATTCATTCACATAAAAAATGTTATAACGAAACATAAAAAGTACTTGTAAAATTATGTATTTCATTGTACATACCAGATTGCATCAAAAGTGCTAAATACGCATAAATAAAACTTGGTTGACCTAAGTTTAAATCGTTTATTAATAATCTTTTATACTCCGCCATTAATACTTTTCCAGCAGCACCACAGAATATAATTACACCCAAAAGCAGAGCGGCATTGCAAGTGTATATCCACAATCTATAATACCTGAAAGTTGTAATAAAAAAATTAAACACGTAGTTGTTATGAATCCTTGTTTTTTTAAATCAACAATCAACAACCTAAATAAACAATCAAAATTTATATAATAATCTTAATAATATATTATAATAATACTAGCAAAAAGCATCAAATTGAACTTTGAATTCAGACCTGACGTTTCCCGCATTTCATATAACATTTTTAAGTGGATGCAACGTTTTTTTCTTCCCAGAAATATAAAAAAGAAAGTCCATAAAAATAATAGAAAATAAAAACAAATATATCCATATTTCAGCAAAAATTTTTAAATATAGTCCTGTAGTTTAGCAGATTTGATTATCTTTGAAGACAATATTGCTTCAATTCCGTTATGTCTTATACATTAGTTAATGTCTAATTCTAATTATGTCATTGAACTAATGTATAAGACATTAGTTTAATGTCTTATACATTAGTTTCAACTGCTTCGCACATTTGAAGACTACTGTAACTACCGGATTATTTTATTTTGCTCGATTCTAATCATTAATGACAAAATTTATGATTTGAAACAAGTAAATTACGTAAGAATGTTGCTCGTTAAATAAGGTTTTACCTTGTTCGCGATAACATTGCAATTGTCTATTAATGACTTTTCCTACAACTTATTTATTTATTTTTTTATTTATGTTTAGCTGAAACATTTTACAAAAATCAAAATTAAAGAACGCATATGCATATATACATTTTTTTAGACCGTAGCAAATTATTAACTTAAAAATTAAATTTAAAAATTATACAAAATAAAACTTACTACTACTAATACTCCATCAAATATGTAATATAAACAATGAAAAACTAAAACAATAATTTGGTAAAATAAAAAAAAGGTTATATTTGACTATAAGTAGGTAGAAGCTTTTTCATCGTGTCTTTCGTCAGTGAAAAGTCAAATCTGTGTTTATGTTTGTTGCATAAACGCAGCATTCTACTGACAGGTTCATGTTTCCCATAATTGGTCCTATGAAACAAGACTCAATCTTGTTAATATGTATATCGTAACAGGATGACCATACTTCCGAAGCATATTCAAGATGAGGATGGACAAGGCACGTGCAGAGCGACTTTAAGACATATGGATAATTAAACTCTTTTGACCAGCATTTAATGAGACCCCACATCGAGCTTGATCTGCATATGATATGATTGTAGTGATTTTTAAGTGATTACTTATTATCGACACAAACACCCAGGTACATAATTGAATGAAGTTGATTAAAGGCTTGGCTATTCAAAGTACAGCTTGTTAAAAATGGCCGTCTTTGCCTAGAGTAGCACATTTACTCACACTGATTTTTAGGTTATTACTTGAGCACCGCCCGTAAAAGCGGTTAATATCGTCGTCAAGATACGTCGCATCATTTGCCTATTTTTTTGAGAATTTTCATGTTATCAGCATGTATCAATACCACACTGGGCGTCAATGTGAAAACAACATCATTAATTGAAATAATGAACAGCAGTGTCTACTTTAGGAGACACCAGAATTAGCCGAAAGAGGCGCAGAAATCGCTGAAAGAAAGAGGACTCCTAACAGAGAATGAAAGCTTCCTTCCACGCGGAAGGAAAAATACCAGAAGAATAAGACTTATTAAAAATTATGGTTAAGATGGCTGACAGAGAAGAACAATACCTGCTTAAAATAATCTCAGAAACTCCATCTGGTCCTGGAGAAAGACTAGATCCCGAATTGGAAAGATATTTTTCAACCGCAGAAGGGTTCTTGACAAAATTTGTAAAGGAAGTTTTAGAATAGTTATAAATTTATCGAAAGTCGTCAACATCTAGTTGAAAATATGAAAAAGAGTTAGATTTGCGAAAAAGTTACGAAAAAATTCGAAAATAGTTTGGGAATTATTACTTGTATTCCCACTGAATTCCAAGAAGGTTGGATAACTATCACTTTTCCTCTTATGGTTTATGGAAACTGCCGCTTTAGTGGAGATATATTTGCGCCGCAGCTTATTTGTTTTGCTGCGAAGTTCCCTTAACTATTGTGAAAACCATGCAGGGCCAGAGCCAGTATGTTTAGATTTCAACACTGGAATAAACAATTCAAACGCAAAAATTATTTTGTAAAACTTACCCGTCATTGACTCAATATCACTAAAAATAAATACTGGAGAGAAGTCGTAAGGAAAAAAGAAAGCATTTAGCATTGCGAAATTCGCCCTTTTAAAATCAAAACGATAGAAAAAGGGATCGTCAATAAATGGTGAGTCGTCAATGCAATAAGAGAACGATATCAGAAGATGGCAGATGTCAACCTTAACAAAAGGATCTGGGACAGTTGCAGGTCAGCAATTATACCTAGTAAAAACTAGATCCAGTTGCTTCGATTGATGGTTTGTTATTGAGGATATTTGTTGCAAATTATTTAGGTGAAAGGCAGCTATAAAACTCCATCTCACTAGAACAGTCGATTGGAATCAAAAACGGTTCCCCATCATGAGTCATCCACCTAATTTTGGGGAGATTTAAATGTCTGAAAACAAAAACCCAATCCTCCGTGTTAAGAAAATTGCGTACATAATCAATTTCCAAAGAAAATTTTGCATATAACTTATTACTTAAGTTAGGCGGTAAATAGCAATTGACTAAGAAAAGCGTTTTGGAATTCAGCTCAATTTTAACTGCAATGATTATAAGGTCATCGGAGTCTTGATGTTAATAATACTAGCTTTCAATAGCGATTAGTACCCCACCTCCCTTTGGTTTGTATCCTTGCAAGAGAAGTCCATATCGGTCCCTTCTAAAAACAGAAAATAAAGAGTTACATTATTCAAGGAGGAGCACAAACAAGTTCGAGTTCTATTTCCAATACTAGCTGATTGGACCAAGGTATTATTGTTACGAAAGATACTTAAACAATTTGGAAAATTGGGCTGAGGTCGACGGAAAAAAACTTGTTATTTGCTTCCCTCGTTCTCTGTAAATAGTCATTCAATTTGCTCCTCATATAATTCCTAAATATTTATAAATCTTTATCAACACTGGCGGCAGATATATTTAAGGTGTCATGAAATCTTTTGAATAAGTTATGTAAAATGGTATAGTCAGAGGAAAGGCCCTCACTTTCAATAAAAGCCTTAACACCTAATCTAGTTTTACCATCGAGGATATTTTCCGCCGCGTCACGAAGATATGGCAAGTACATTTTAACATTCTCATATACAGTCCGGTCTCTGAAGGATAGTACATAAGTACTATCGCCATCTTCAACTTACCTTTTGGTCATACGAACGATCGGAGGAGTTAGCGCACCTAGAAAGTTAGTAGGCGGATGTGTTTGCAATAAGCGAGCATTGGGAAGGTTGTGAGGGTTGGGTATAGATATAGAAAATTGGGTGTTAGCTGTGAATGTCTTGTCCTGAATGAAATTTGGGTATTTTGTTCCATTGTCAATATTATTGTTCTTGTTAATATTTGTATTGTCGCTATGGTCTTTTTCATTAATTTCAGCATTATTGTTATTATTGCTATCGACACTTATATCAGTATTACTATCATTATTGTTATTATTATCGTTATTATCATTATTAATATTATAATTATTAATAATAATAATAATGAAAAAAGAAGAATCAAAAAGAAAAAAAAAAGATCAAAAAGGAAATAGCACTGCATCGTACGCAATTTTATAAAAATGAATTTTTGAGATGTGGACGCAATTTAAAAAAGCGATGTTACATGGTCAATAGTATTTTAAACAGATCCTCTAGCAGGGTCAGCACTATTGTAGTGTCCAGGGGTGACTCTATTGTGACTAGTTGTGGAACTAGCTGATAATTTTAACGAGTTTTTCATTTCAAGAGTTGGAATGAATCACATCGGTGAGGGAAGCACTGAACATAGATTTTTCTTTGAACAAATTTATTCCTCGGATCTGCTTACGACTATAGGTTCATTTGAGAATTCTAATACATGTGGTGCTGCCAGTATCTCAAATAGGATTTATAAAAATCCTTCGTTTTCTTTCGTTTGGAGTAAGCTCGAAAAAAGCTCTCGTTTATGAATCTGTGAGTCCCTTAGACCTTTATACTGGTATAAATCGTGATGTGTTTATACTAAAGGAGTAATTCTGTCGATATAAATTGATGATAAGCTCTGAGACTAAATTAATTGATTTTAGTTTCACATGTTAAACAATTGATAGACCTGATGTTATTTATCATTCTTCTAGATGCAAGCACTTCAAACTTGTGCGTTGTAAATTTCTAAATTGTTCTGACTACGCTTTTTATGAAAATTCTATTGTTTGTGTTTCAGAATGTTTTGTAATTAACTATAATAATTATTTTAGATATCTTGGCGTGGTGATTAACGAACATATGGAGTGGATGGAGCGTACAAGTGAGGGCATATTTACGTTATACCCTTAGGAACTTTCATAATTTGAAAAAAATATGTTCGATGAAAGTTTTAAGGAAATTTTACTTCAGAGTATTTCATTCTATATTACAATATGGAATCACGTGCTGGGATGGAGCATATTTCACTAATTACTTTAGTAATTAATTTAAATTTTCACTAATTACTTTAGTAATTAATAATAATGACCTTTACCGGTTTTGCGAAAATGTGTATCGCTGAAGATTTATAAAGAAGGACGTGGGTATCCTACCTTTAAGTTAAGTGGAAAATTAAGAATTTTGCCGGTACGGCATCTGTTTTATTTTACAGTATTAAGAGTGTCCTTTATGAAGAGATTAAGAGTGTCCTTTATGAAGAAAGAAGTGGGTATTTGATTAGTTGAATCTAGCATAACTATAATTTAAGAAGTGTACACAACACATTGGTTATTATTCCCTTTTTTCACAAAACAAACTGTAGGAATTCATATTCTGTCATGTCCGCTAGATTATTCGACAGGTTGCCGGAAAATTTACGATCACTGGGAATTTTTAATAAATTTTCAGGAAGTATAAAGTCATGGCTTTTTCAATTTTCTCATGATGACATTGAAA